GTTGCTTGAATAGGACAAACATAAAAATAATATTCAAAGAATATTTCAGTCATCACAATATTTTGCAGTCACCTACCATATTCACTAAACTGTAAACTTAATTAAACTTCTCTGATATGATGACAATTTTATTTGATGAAACTCAAAAAAACCATAGTACGTTTGTTACAAAGTAAAAACAACATAGTTTTAAACAAAGAACCTAACATCAATAAGATATCTCTGTTTAGCCTTGAGCAATCTCCAGTAAGGTTTGTTTGTTTTTAAGCCCAAAACTACACAGTGGGCTGTCTGCTTATATTTTTATTTCTAGTAATGTAATTAATATTCAAATAAAAAGTTAAGATCAGACATTCCAAATATCTAAATTAAAATAAAATAGTTATTAGAAAAAGTTATTGCACTGATAAATAGGATTCTTGTTTTCAAAATGTTTATAAAAAGTCATTACTTGCAGAGTCATAACACGTGTATTTTCACTTCTTTTAGATATCAAGAATACAAACGTTAATATTTTCCTTACATGAAAATATATTTTAAACATATACTTACCTCTCCACATACAGTAACTGTTCCTCGTGTCTATCTCTGAGATTTTGCACATGCCACAAACCTTGAGCTATCTCCCACCTAAGACACGTATTTTGATGTGAACTGCACAAATGGATCATGTAATCATCATGCAACAATAGTTCTCTACCAATAGGAGGACAACACATCCTCCATGTGCAGTAGATCCCCATAAGCACTTGCTCTCAAAATTAACTTCATTCTTAGATGAGGCAAGAATAATGTGCAATAGTAGTGAGGAGGAAGGTTGGGAAGGTGTGCAGAGGAGTAAGTGTCTATCATAAATATATTTTCAGATAAGGAAAATGCCAACTCCAAAACAACTCTGCACACAGTAGCTATAATACACATTGATGCAGTAGAGGAGTTGGTGCCTTTTCAAAAACCTACATGAGCTCATTCTGAGAAGGAGAAAGTTCATGAAGTATGGAGTATAACACCCTATAGTTGGGGCTTATTATGGGGTCAACACTCATGGGCGACTGCATCCATTTCATGCAGGGTATACTCTTTACCTAGAAGGAAAGAAGTAAGGCAAAGAAGCCAATGTGTTGTAGAAGAGTACATAACCAATTATGCATTTGCACACAACCACTCAGTATCTCTGCTGTTCTTACTGTTCTATTACCCTCGGATACCTGATGACATGTGTCGACATAAACAGTAAAGAACAGCAAAGGAAAATTAAAGTATTAGTGAAAAGGTACAGACATGAAATTATGCATATGACCAAAAGAAAATATTTTAACACTATTCTACAAAGGTAAGTACATGTTTCCATTTCTTAGTTTTAAACATTTCATTGCACTGAACATTGATGATAATAGCTCGAGTTAGTGATATAGCAGAGAATATAGGGAAAAAATATATAAACGTTTTCATTAAAAAACTTTTGATATTCATTGAGAAGGTTCCAGAGATTATGGAAATGAAATGTAAAAACTGTAAGATAATAAATAGTAATTTTATAATAAAAATAAAAATCAACTTGCAGGTGAATTATTCATAGTCTGAGTGCAAATAGCAACATTAGAAACAATAGAAAAAAATCAAAATTAAATATTTTTCTAAAACTACATACTTTTGGAAAGATTCTTGTCAAATTTCAAACAATTTCATCCCATATTTTTATTTATTTATGAAATACAATGATAGCAACATTAGGTCTCTACAATATAGGGACCCAGGTGAACGTCCCTTTCTGTCACAGGAGAAGAATACTTTGCCCCATGTGGCTTGCCAAACCAATAGGAAATTAGCATATTATGTAAGAGAGAGTGATCTGCAATACAATGACATGGATACCCCTGTCACAGCACTGTGTTGTCCACTTGGACTCTCTGCTTTGACCAGTGATGAACTTTCCAAGTCGATCACCCCAGCAGCTAGGAACTGGTAGTGGCAAGGGTCTCCCATGTTCTACTCAATGACCAGCAGGTAGGAATTCACACCAGAGATGTGCAGAGAAATGATCGGACCTAACCATCACAAAAGTTTTTATTGGGGAAAATGTACTGGGCATCTGCAAAACGTAATTTAAAAGGCAGCATGCACAAGCCAAGGAAGTGAGCAGACACTCTCCTGGTGCTGGCTTTTCACATGTTAGCCCATAGAAGATATGGTCTGGAATAGATGATAAAAGATATATATATATATAATACTGTAGTTGTCTTGCAGAAAACCCCATCTCAACAGTGGGCATCTTTGGGGCCAGAACAGATGAGTTTAGTACTTTCCATTACACCTGACTCGATGCAGATTTAGTGAAGTAAGTATACCCCGTGAGGCAACACCTGCTACAGGGTAGATTCCAAGAAGTGAATCATATAAGAGTAGAAATGGGTAAGAAAGTAAAAAAAGCACTTACCCATCAAAGAAATGAGTAGACTGGAATATCCTTAGGAAGATGAAACTGCTAGATGGCAGAGATAATGAGAGATGAACATGTTGAGATAGGACAGAGCCTGCGAGCATCTCCAGCCAGGGAGGAATATATGAAACAGATAAGTTGATGAATCCATTTGGTAAGAATAGAGGAAAAGAGAACCCTGGAAGAAGAGGGGTCCTATTACAGAAACCCCAAAATGGTGCTGTGTATGCCAAGTAACACCTGACTGCTCAAACTGGACAGAAAAGATTACCAGGATCAGTACAATCATAGAAGGGCAAGACCAATGCAAGAGAAACAAGAATGGGAAGCATCCAATGCCTAAACATCAGACCTGTGGTGACCACAAGCAAGAAGGAGAAGTAAATAGGTTTTCAGAATCAGGACTGAGCTAAAAAAAAGAAGTGCTTTAGTCACCAGACAGAGAAGAAAAGGAAACCAAGACAGAAACAGCCAAAAGGGAGGGCTACCAACAGGACCCAACAAGGAGTATTGCTAATCAAAGTCAAGACACATGGGAGAAGGTGAAGCAGAGGAGACAAGTCCTGGTTGAGGATATCCACAGTCAAAGCAGCTGGATGAGGCACTGGAGACATGAAGATGGAAAGTTTGGTATTGACAGGAGTGGCAAAGGCTATGATCAATTCGTATGTCCAACTTAGAACAAATCCAATGAAAGACCTGAAGATGGAGTGATCACTCCATAAGAGGAATCCTGTCTGGTCTGAAAATACGACCCACCACTAATTTCAAAGCCCCCCTGAACATGACAGACAGTTAGATGAACCCAGTGTGAGTGGGCCCAAAACAGAAAGTCCAATGTACAGAGGCAAAAGTTCCTAGAGTGGGTCCCAATCTTATGGTTGATATGGGAAATGACAGTAGAATTGTCAGAGTGGATTATAAGCAAGTGATCAACAAGTCGAAGTAGGAAATAGGAACGTGTCCAATGTACAGAGGCAAAAGTTCCTAGAGTGGGTCCCAATCTTATGGTTGATATGGGAAATGACAGTAGAATTATCAGAGTGGATTATAACCAAGTGATCAACAAGTCGAAGTAGGAAATAGGAACGTGTTCAATGTACAGAGGCAAAAGTTCCTAGAGAGGGTCCCAATCTTATGGTTGATATGGGAAATGACAGTAGAATTGTCAGAGTGGATTATAACCAAGTGATCAACAAGTCGAAGTAGGAAATAGGAACGTGTCCAATGGGCAGGCAAGAGTTCCAGAACATTGATGTAGAAAACATGCTCCACATGAGGCCAAACATCTGAGGCCATGTAGAAATCCAGAGACTAACCTCAACCTGCAAGCGATGTCAGTGAAGGAATGGAGATCTGGACATGGGGGCAGCAGTGGCACAATACAGCCCCCAAGACAGATTCTCAGGAGGAGAAGGTGGCAGCATTACAAAAGAGGACAGTCAATCATGGAAGATATTCCATTGGTCACTCAAAGTTTACTGAAAATCCCTCATGTGAGCTTGGCCTAAAAAACAAGATGTTTGAGAAATACGGGAGTCCCAAAAAGAATAAAACCTCTCATACAGGAAGTATAGGAATGGCAACACTCAAGTTGACTAGACCTTCCATATCTTGCAGACAACTGGGGAAAGGCTGAGCACAACTGAGTCAAAAACTGATAAAGACTTCAAGATATGCCAAGTATTTGGTCAGAGTGAGGAGCGAATTGGAAGGTTTGATCAGCCAACCCAGATGAGCAGCTTCTTAAAGAAGTGAAATGGCCAGGAAAGAGGAGAGGATGAACCAGTCACCCATGTAATAACAGAAATGAAGTCCACAACTGTGAACGTAGTGAGCAAACATTATCAAGACTCAGTCGATTACATAAGGAGCTGAAGTGCTGCCGAATGGGAGAGCTTGAAACTAGTACAAATTATACTAGTTGATGAATCAAATAAAACATTGAGAGGATGAGGCAACTGAAATATGTAGAAATGCATCAGAGAACAGGTAAGAAAATGGTGATGATGATGATTACATCTTCTAGTGCAGTGCACATTAAAACATGTCTTAAACTGGAGATAATTCAAGGTTAGTGACATGCACAAAATCCCTCAAAAGCAGATGAGGGAGGAATAGCTACCATGTGCTGAGAGGTAAAGACATTGGTTCAGAAAACATCTTTCTCAAGAGATTTCTAACATCTAAACAATGAAAAATTGATGCTGTAACAAGCATATACGAGTTGCAGGTGAACTAAACGATAGTAACTTCAATTAAAAGAAATCTTTAAAGTCTAACACATCATTAGAGTGTCTGGAAAAAGCCTAGGCACAACAATTTTGCCATGGCAATGTTTAACTAGCATTCATATTATTGTATGAACTTAGAAATAATCAGTTATTGGCTAAAGCCTTAACTGGATTGCTGTAGATTCAAGATATTCTTTTATTTCAGAAAACCTGAAAGAAAGCTCTGATGGTAATTAATAGATCAATCAAATAAAAAAAAACTAACATATAATATTTCCTTTTGATACTATATGGTAGTGTAACGACATCTGAGTGTTTATACTAACCATTAACAGTTAAAGTTCCAAATCCAGACTGACTACCACTTTCATTCTTGATGTGACAAGAATAGCTTCCAGAATCCTCAGACTTTGCTTTTTCTATCACAAGAGCATAGACTTCTTCATCCTTATGAATCAGTTTAATTCGTTCATCCTCAACAATTAGCTGCCCATCTTTATACCTGTGTAGCATAAATCAATATAGAAAATATGATAACTAACAAGGACATACTGTACAGTGTTGAAGATTTTTATTCTACAATAGTTTCTACGCTACTAAATAAATGTCACTTCAACTTTCCACTCAGATAATATTTAGTTCAAAATGATCATAAAGAACTTATAGGTCATTACAATATTAATAAAATTTTTAATAAAATAGAAAAAGACTGAACAAGGTTTTAGACCATGTAACTGTTAGTTAGGTAAGTGTTTTAACTAACTGAATTAACAGATTAAACCTTATTTGTCACTTCAATAGTTTTATCAGAATGTTAACTGCTAAAACTAAGCTAGGCAATTTGAGTACAGTTTTTAGTTAAACATTCATAAAGTGAATCAGCTTGTTACTACATATTTATTAGACTATCACAACCATGATTAAATATTCATAAATATGAATCTATATGAAGATCTGTTTTGTTTTGAATTTCACACAAAGCAACGACAAGGGCTATCTGCACTACCCACCCCTAATTTAGCAGTGAAAGACTAGAAAGAAGGCGGTTGTCATCACCACCTATCACCCATTTTTGGGCTACTCTTTTACCAAGGAATAGTGGAACTGACCATCACATTATAATGCCCCTATGACTGAAACGGTGAGCATGTTTGGTGTGATGGGGATTCGTACCCGCGACCTGCAGATTGCGAGTCGATCGCCCTAACCACCTGCCCATGCCGGGCCACATATGGAATGATCACAAATATGAATTACTACAACCGACCCACGGCCATTACCATCAAAGTTTTCAGTTGGAAAGTCAGAATTCACTTTGATTTTATAAAGAATACAGAAAGAGACTACTTGTATTAGATTCAAAAATAGATGTATAAATAGTGGGACAGGGATCTGAACCCATGATGTGCATATTGCGAGTCAAGTACCCTAGCTACCTAGCCATGTCAGACCCCTATATGAAGGTTAACATATTATACTGTAGTGGATTCTTTGTGTAATAAATGAAAATATTTTAAGAAAATTAAATATAAAAAGAGCATGTGGAAACTATAATGAGTAGGAAAATAGTATACTTTGAAATATAAAAGGTACAACAAGATCAAAAAAGTGGAAAACAAAACAACAAAAGGAAAATAAACATAAGATGGGAGAATAATATGAGAGAGGGGACAGAACTTAAGATCTTAGAGTGCAAAAGAAGAGTTCAAGACAAATAGTGTTGGTGTTCCATTGCAGTCAATCTCTATAGCAAAGATGGCAAAAAATAGATGAATGTATATTTATTAAATTGCCATCAACTTTATTAGGTTATGGAATCTTCAGGGAGAATAACAAGCAATTACAGTTTTAACTTAACATTCTTTATTGTTAGCAGAAGTCATTGAAAAAACCACTAAAATGCTGTTGCACTTGTGATTCTGTTTTTTCTTTACCTACATAGTTTGCATAGGCTAGTGGGAAAAAAGTCCAAGGTTTTCCAGGACAAAATTATTTTTAGGACCTAATTTATTGATTTTAACAGAATGTGAGCTCCAAAATTAAAAAACAAATGTTTTATTATATTTTATTAAAAATGCACTAAAAGCTTTACAAAACGTTTTAGTAACAGTACATACAGTGAAAAGCAAGTAACAAAGAAAAAATGTCAAGTTATCCTTTTTTAACTCTAAAAAATAACAACTGCAGTTTTTGTTCAATAAATTAAATAATGCAAAACATTTCAGTTTACAACATATAAATCAAACAACACAATGCCAGCTGAATTGCTTTGAAAAATAAGGAAAATATTTAATAACTTTAAACTGTCAACTACAAGTCAAAGTTGTTATTTTTCCAAAAATTAGCACTGTTAATTTTTTGTATCACTCTCTCATAATTTCAAGTTCAATTTTTTTGCTTTAAAAGATTTCTTAAAACTGTTATATTTGAGAACCCACTCTCATTTCAATGATTTTCAGTTTATTTGCACCCTTGTTGGCTTCTTCCTGAGGATGCTCCGTGCTCTTGCAAAGCCTCTTCTTTCTCTCGTTTAGCTCAATGATGTCCTGATCATGTGCTCTTTTCTTCATCTAGTACCTTTCAACCTCTTACTGAACATGCTGCAAATACTAATCATACTTTTACCTTACAGTTTCTGCATAGGGTATCATGTCTGGAGTGATAGTGATTTTTCTACACCTCAGATTATTGCTGCAGACAGAGGGTCCACTAGCTGTTTGAGGGGTAACCTGTACTAAACAGACAATGTCACCAGTGCCCTACTTCTCACTGGTGTTGTGCACAGTGATGATGAACTCTCCAAGGTCTACCACCCCCAGACAGAACTGGAAAGTGTCAAGGGTCTCCTGTGCTCCAATTGAAGAAAGGGGTTGGGGAGACCCAGAGAAGTGCCCAAGGATCCATAAAATGCCTACCAGATAGGTCTTTTACTGAAGACAGTGTAATGGGTGACCACAAAACCCTAGTTTTAAAAGCTGGGAAGGGCAAGCCAAAGAAGTGGGCAGACACTTTCCTGGTGCCAGTTTTTTCCATGATAGTCCATGGCATGGTACAGTCTGGATCAAGCATTTGAGTAGTTTGCATATCACAAATATACTACTCAATTGTGGGCACTGGTTGAGCCAGGGTGAATGGGTTTAGTGCCTTCTGTTACCCCTGGTCTGATGCAAAATTTGGGAAATAAGCAAACCCTGGGAAGCAACAGAAGCCATCTTGTGGAATCCCATAAAGAGGAAAAGAGCACTGAAAAAAGAGAATTTACTTACTCTTCTCAAAGATGGCATATGGAAGAATCATGACTAGGGAAAGCCAAAATCCTGCAGGAGACAAAACAGCCAGATAATGAAGATAAAGGAAGACAGACAGGTGTAGGTTCATCCACATGCTAGCCTGAAGGATATCATCCAAGGATTGAGGAAAGTGAGAAGCAAGGGAATGAGACAGTTGAAGAATCTGAACAGTCAACACATGAAAGAACAATCACTTTTCTGAGCAGTGAGGAAGAAAGGTTTAGTCTGAATAGACAAGGAAGTAAGTATGGTAAGAGAGAGTGGAGAAAGCACAGATAGCATACACATCTGAATGATGACGACCACAGATGAGAAGGAAAAGAAAATATGTTTTGAGATAAAGATGAAATAATAAACATGAATTCAATGGCTTAAATGGAGCCTGTGGAAAAAGCATGTAAAACTACATCAATATCCCAGTCAAGCATGGAAGTAGGATGAGACGGTCAATGAAGAATGTAGGAATGGAACTAAGTGGAAAGGACAGAAGAAGAAAAACTAGACAGCAACAAAAAATGGCAAAATGTAGGAGGTAAAGCTGCCTGAAAATCAGCAATAGGGGAAACAGGTTATCCATGTCAGGTGAAGAAGTCATACAACTTTTCCCACAGGAAAACATGGGAGGAAGCAGAAGACAAAGGGGAAAGAGAAAGAAAACAATATAGCTATAAAATCATGTTAAGGAAGAGACTTGAGAGGTGAGTATTTTCCACCACAGATAAAGCTGTACCTAGAGCAAACTCTGATGGAGGAAATAGCCAGTTAAATCATCATCATTCTGATTTATGTTCAATCTGGGCAGAAGAAATGTTGGCAAACAGATGGTATAAGGAGGCCCAGTGTATACAGAGGAATACTCAACACATGGAACAATGGCTGACACATCCACCACAGACAGCAGGCACTCAGTAGCCAGTATAAACACAGGTTCCACGTGAGAAACAGCATTGCCAACATCGGACAAAGCAGAAATTACCATCACTTGAGAATACATAATGAGTAAGCAGGGAAAAAATTGTTTTCCATCACATATTTCAGTAGTAATAAAAGAAACCACTTAAACTTGAACAAATTTTATGCTCTGTAGACTACTGCAAACCTCATGCAATTGATTAATAAGTCTAAAAACACATCTGTTCTAGACAGTGATGAGGGAAAAAAAAGTTATTTCGAGCTCAAGTTATCAAAGGGAGTTACTATACAGGGAGGTTGTATTACCCTCTTATTGATGGAGGGCTATTATCACAGTTCATTCTAAACACATGATTTTTCAACCTCAACCAACACCTGGCAGCATCTGGAATTGCACATCAGGTCCACAGTGGGAAGAGGGTTCTCTACCTTTCACCTCAAAAATGGTTACCATCAGGAAAGAGGAGCTTTTGTACCAAGAACCCATCTCTGCATTCACTGATGTTGGAGGTGTATGTTGGAGAGCCCGGGAGACTGCAGCACCAGAGACATTGCAATAGGTGAACATAATACCCAATAATGAAAAGCAGGGCAATCATGCTGACAGAGTGCATCATCGAACAATTGGTATACTTTGGTGACAGATTTTCTTGTAGGCAGAATCGACAGGAACAGCACGCACACT